CTCGAGTTGAGAGGGCCGATCGACCCAATGTCTGTGTCCAGGACGGCCTGCTGACTGTCGTGACTGCTCAATGGGGCACAGCCACCTCATGCATGTGTGTCCGTGTGCGTGTGGGAAAAGAGAGAGAGAGAGAGAGAGAGAGAGAGATGGCCCAGTGTTAGAAGAGGAGGTTGGGAGGTGGAGGGACAGAGAAAGGAGAGAGAGGAGGTAATCCAAACCCTTTGCAGACGACTTGGACAGGGGAGGGGGTGCGTAAGCAGTAGAGTAGCCTTGTCGAAGTTGTCGTCACGGTGTATTGAGATTCAGCCCTTTCTTCCTAAGGTTTCGAGGAATAAAGATGAAAGAAAAAAAGGAAAAAAAGGGACAGGAGGGTGGCATCGAACGGAGACAGAGGAGGGAGAGAGGAGGGAGACAGAGGAAGGAGTCAGAGCTGGAACGATAATGCCAGTGAGTTGGCAGGGAGTGAGACAACTCTCATGATCGAGCGATAGTGAGGGGGAAGGAGAGTACGGAAAGTGGTGAGGGAGCATCTTTGCTACCTTTTCTCTGTGCAGCCTGTTTTCGTCATCAGTTCATGGTTTAGTCGTAAATGCAAACACAGACACAGTACGTGGACAAAAGAGGGTTGCGGGTTCGGATTAACATTACAGGTAGGTGAGCAGGGAGAGAGATCCAACCTGACTTTGAATAATGAGAGCGGGGAGGGAGGGGGTGACGCTGCAGGAGGCGAGTGTGAGTGTGAGTGTGTGGAAGACACACACGCACAGAGAGAGAGAGAGAGAGAGAGAGAGAGAGAGAGACTGGGGGTCCCCATGCTGATGTTATGACGAGCTTTTCCGCCCCATTACTGCCCATGTCTAGATCTTTATTATATCGTTTTCTCTGCGATCCTTTCCCGTGCATATCCTTACTGTCTCCCCTTTCTGTGCAGAAGTTCTGTGTCTCATTGATGTCAGCAACATGCCCAAACGTTGCATGTGGGACATGAACGGAGTGAAGCTTGTCATGGGAAGTGTGTGTCTCTGCTGCGTGGACTATCCCCGATGCCATCGCCTGCTACATTCTCTCCTAGCATGTCCTGCATGCAACGTTTGCGCATCCTCTGGGTGCACCCAAAACTGGGTCTCCTCGATCCTTGCTAGATAAGCAATGAACGCAACAGCCTGAGGTGGAAAATAGACTCTTACATGAACCACCTGTAGTGCGCTGTACTGAAAGGTTATCGCCCCAGATCTTCCAACAGCTAAACACCCTTACTCTCGATCAGCTCCCGTCATTACGCGCCCATAGAGAGGGAACATGGATGCGGAAACCCAAGAAACGTGCTCGCTGCCGCACTGTGACAGCCCACATGAGATCCGGCTAGCTTGTGAATGGCATGCTTGGTGTCGTGAGGATTATGAAGGTATAGCCCATGCAAGCCTTTCTTTTCATACGTATGATGACAGCCAACGTTGTGCGCACGTACGTCACCCTGACATGGCATGTCCTATTTCTAGACACCGGATGGAACGGCAATGCCTCTGCGATTGCAGCCGGCCTGGTGTTCACTCCGCTCGCCAGAGCAGACCGGCTATTCAAAACCATAGTTCAAACCCTAACCTAACCAACCAGTCATGTCTGGTCTGTGGCCGGCCAGAGCAGACCGGCTATTTGCCGTAGTCCTAGAATGTAGGAAGTGACTAGGAACCAAATAGCCTGTGGCATCTCTCTTCGCCGTGCCATTCAAAACCACAGTTCAAACACTAACCTAATCAACCAGTCATGTCTGGTCTGTGGCTGGCCATCTTACCAAGGGTACCCATAGGCACAACCCCTACCCCTCAACTCAAAATCCCCGCCCGACAACCCAAACGCTGACTGGCCTCTAGTGCCATTCTAGAGTAGTCTGTTCTGGCGATGAGTACTGAGACCGTGTGAAGTTGGTTTTCCTCTGTTTTGAGCTGCTCCCCTTTCCGCCTTTCTTTCCTTCCTCCCTTCGCTTGTGTAGTACTCCTTAATGCATATGATTGAGCATCATCGAGAGAACGAAATATAAACTGAAGATCTGCTGGAAATGAACAGGAGTGTTGGTCCTGCTTACTTCATTGTCTTCTATAGAGGTGAAGCTGCTTCAGTTTTGAATCTCCTGATCTGGGTGAAAAAAGGGCTGGTTTGGTGCCAATGTGAACCAACAACTTTTTCTGATGAGTAAGTGAAAGTCCAAAGAAACAGTCCGGCATCTTTGTTGGAGTTGCGTAGAGCAAGATTGAAAACACCCAAGAACCCATCTTGACGGTGGGAAACGTAGAGAGAGAGAGAGAGAGAGAGAGAGAGAGAGAGAGAGAGAGAGCTTTGTCTATAGCCAATTCTTGACTGAAGTGCCACAGGACCGGGAGAGATCATGATGATGGAAGAGTAAGGAACGGTGTGAGACGGGGTGGGTGGGGGTGAACAAGGGTCATGAGTGGGATGGGGAGACAAGGGGGAGGTAGGTGATTGTGTGGGATTGGGGGTGGAGGGGATGGAATCACAGTGGTGCAAAATTAGTCAACTTACAGGGACACTATGATTGGGACACACTCGGGGGAGAGAGAGAGAGAGAGAGAGAGAGAGAGAGAGAGAGTTTTGACCGCAAACGCATCATCCATCCCGCAACAGGTGGTTTAGTAGGTATGTTTAGGAAGTTAAAAGTTTCATACTTTCAGGAAAGAAGGTGATGCCAGGAGTTAGCGCAGTAGGTGATCAGGTTGGCACAGGTGAAGGAAGGGCAGGTGTGTGCATGAGTGGTACAGGGGCGGTAGACGCCACATTTGGTGGCTTTGGCTGCCGTTGTGTTTCCTTTTGTCTGAATGGAACGGGGCGAAACAGAGGTGAGAGAGTCAGCAGGGAGAGAGGGGGTTTAAAGAACAGAGAGTGAAGGAACAGGGAGGAGGTGAAGGGTAGGCGTCTGAGTGGGCAGTGGCAGCGACAGAAGCTGCGGCTGCATTTGTTGTCTTTGACCGGCCTTGTGTTTCCCCTTTTGTGAAAGCCAAGGGGTGAAAAAAGGGTGAAAGGGACAGCGGAGGGGGAAGAAAGGGGACGGAAGGATAGAGAGGAGGATGGGGGTAGGGTCTAGGGGGCGAAGGGAGGTCGCTTGATTTTTTATTTTTATTTTTTATTTTTTTTTGTATTTTGGGTCGCTGCAGTTTCCAATTTTTGTGCTTTCTCTGGCTATCTGTTTTGCGGGAAACCTTCCTTTCTGTTTGAAGAAGTTTCAACTCGAAAACGAATGGCTTTTAGAGATTCCTTTTCTCCCTCCCTCCCTCCTTCCCTACATTTGAGTTTTGGAAAAAGGCACATCCATCTACAGTGCATACCGCTTGGTTGCTTTTTTAACTCCTTTTTTTTTTTTTTTTTTTTTGGACGAGTTTACTGATTTACATTCGAATGCCTATTAGCAGTGTGTTGTTTCTTTTTACTACATATCCCATTTATGATTTTTCACTTATTTAAATTTATTTTCCAAGATTAGTGCGCGTCGCGCGAACAGGTGCGTTGAATGCATCATTCACCTTCGTCAGACTAGTTACCTAAAGGGTTTTTTTTTTTTTTTTTTTTTTTTTTTAATACTGAAAGTTCTTGGGAAAAACCTGTATAGAATTTTGGAGTTTTTTTTTTTTTTTAATCACATGATAGACTGATAGAACCTCAGGCATCTTGTCAGGGTATGGTCGTCGAATGCGGGTCGCATTATCTTTTCTATGTCTAATATATCAGAAGATTCAGAGCCATGAAAAAGAAGTATATTAGTATAAGCATGTCTACTAAGCCTTGAAAAAGGAGTATATTAGTATAAGCATGTCTACTAGTTTCATCGTATCTTTATGGTATAGCTGCTACTGTATCAGGATTTGAATCTGCGACCATTAGGTTAAAACTTAAAAGCCCGCCCGAATTGTTTGAGTGGTTTTCCTTTCCAGCAACCGGAATCATGCTTGTGTTTTTTGCTTTGATTTTGTCAAACAGGTCTAGTAAGACGAAGGGCCTCGCTCCACTACAAAACTTTTTAAATATCTGGCATCACAAGTTGTCCAGATACCTTTATAATTCATTTCGCCAGATTATGCAGAACGTGCGAATTTATTTGTAGCACACGGCATTCCAGATGCATGTGCCACGTTGTGTTAATGGAGCGAGGGCAAAAGTTACTTTCAAGCTTCGTAGCATTGTGTTCGCGTTTCGTGACCGAACGTGAACGGGTCGTTGCCCAATAAATGGAAAACAATTGAAACCGGAGAACGTTCGCGACCGAACGTGAACGGGTCGTTGCCCAATAAATGGAAAACAATTGAAACCGGATGCAACCCGTGCGAAGCAGTGCCCTTGCGTACGTATGCTGCGATGCTCAATAGAATCCCTGCACCTATCATTAAATTCATTTTTTCAATTTTTTTTTGTATTTGGAAAAGATGTTTTGTTTGCACTCCTTTTGGATGTTTCAAAGATGCGTGGTTTGTTTTCACTTCTTTTGCGGACAGAAGATTCATCGCTGGAGTAAGAGGATTCGACAGAAGATTCTTGGACGCACTTGTAGTATCATGTGCTCGCAACGTTTTGCGTATGTTTCGAAGGTTAACATGTCAGCAGCTTTCAAAAACAAAACCGAGTAGGGATTAATCGCTGGAGTATCCGGACGAGGATTCGGACATTTGCAGTGCGTTGTCGGTATCAGAAGCTGATGCCTTTACATGCATGATCAGTTCTTCAGGACGTCAAATTTTTTCACCATGTATTCTTTTTTTTTTCCGTTTCCTTTATCGGTTTCAATTCTTGTGTTTCCTTTTTTTTTGTTTTCTCCTTTCATTGATCCAGATTTTAGGTGTTGACGTATATTTACGGTGTGTGTTTGTGTGTTTGTGTGTTTGTGTGGTGTTTTTGATGGTCTTCTGTTCCCGTCCATTTTCTCGTGTTTTTCTCACTTTGGTTAAATGGCTGGGCCCGGATGGTCCCACGTGGTCCTGCTTATCTGGTGGGTGTAGAATCTGTCCCAAGATGTGCTCCTAAGATGAGGTCCGGGTTTTGGCCCTGCAGAGCAGATCCAGAACCCTTATCAAGGTGATTAACCAACAAGTATGGCGTTGGAAATCTTGTTGACTTCACCATTTTTTTACTGCTGGTTGGTCAGCATGCCCCCGGCCATATACATATATGCGGAGAGACGAACACGCAGCAGACGTGTGAGGCATTTTTCATCAACCCATCCATGTGCACTCTTTTCAGTGAAGAACAAAACATGTCGTAGTAGTTTATGTACACGCTTGTCCCGGTGGTTCATGTACACACATGTCGTACCATTTGCTCCCAACATTGATTGAATTGTGGATAGCTGGGCACTGGACCATCGCCGCCGGACATCTGTTGCCTCTGGTCGTTTCGGACTTCGTTTGGATGCAGTTGGGATGGCGAATCGGACTGGGGCAGATGCAACTCGGGATAACGATTTTTTTGGAAGCAGTCAGGATCGCAATTTCCCAGTTGGGATTAGCGATTGCTACTCGTTTGGATCGGAATTTTAGCCATACGGTTTGAGACCCGTTTGCGTGCAGTTATGTACAGGGATTCAGACTCGTTCAGGTGCAGTCGGGAGAGCGATTCTTATTCATCAGGATGCGGTTGTGACAGCGATTGCTGTGTATCCGGATCACAATTGGGCATATGGTTTAGGACCTGTTTAGATGCAGTTGGGACAGGGATTTAGATTCCTTTCGGATGCAGTTGGGATAGCGATTCCTGCTCGTCTCGATGCAGTGGGGATAGTGAATGCTACTCGTTTGCATGGAGTTGGGATAGCAATTGCTGCTCATTTCGATCTTCATTGGGGTAGGGATTGCTATTCGTTTGGATGCAGTTGGGATAGCGATTCCTCGTAAGAATGTGTCCAAATCCCTATATGCCTAATTTGGATACAGTTGGGATAGGGATTCCTACTCGTTTGGCCGCAGTTGGGATAGGGATTCAGACTCGGTTGCCTGCAGTTCGGATAACCATTGCCACTCGTCTGGCTCGCAATCTAGCATATAGGGATTGGAACCCATTTCGATGCCAGTTGGAATAGGGATCCAGATTCCTTTGGATGCAGTTGGGATAGGGATCGGACACAGCTGCTCGTAAACATCTGTTGTTGTTATGATACTGAGGCATCTTGTCATTCATATCTGTTGACGGAACTGAAAGAAGTGTGCACGAAACGGAAAGAAGTGTGCACTATTTCGAGTCATTTTTTTTGTGCGTGTCACTTGATGCTGAGTTGTTAGGGGCCAGACCGGTATGTTTCCTGGTGTGAAGACATGGGGTTTCAAACCCCGTAAGATTCCGGTGAAGTCCGTCAAAAAAGACTCCAAATGAATGTGATCTGCTTGGTTGGACTCCCAGGGAGGCATTTCGTACAGGGATGGGCGGCGATGTGGTTGCATCGGAGGATCTATGATGGTCTGTAATCAATCTTGCCAGGTCTTTCATCAAACCGCGAAACTGACCGAAGTTCTGAAGTTTGTGGTCGTTGAATGAACTGTTCTGGTATTGGTAATACTTGTCGGTGGCCGCAAATTTTAGTTGATCGAGCACTAAGCAACGGTACTGCGTCGTAAAATGAGTTCGGATTTTTTTTTTTTTTGGAAACCTGTATTCTCTTGATGATGGTCTACTGTCTTCCCCTGAATAGAACGTACGGTTATTGTAGGCGTCTTCGACTCACCTTTCAGTCCGGATGCAGAGAAAATGATCGAGTAGGGGACAGAATGTACGTTCATTGTAGGTGTTTTTGGCTCACCTTTCAGTCCAGACATCAGCAAAAATTGACTGCACGTTCTATTCGGGTGAAGAGGGTAGCTTTCTCACAGAGCAGGGGAATGGATGGGCAAAAAAGGGCCTGGGTGCTTTTGGAGGAACGGTTTTTCCAGTTCATGCTTCTATTAGTGGGAAGTAGAACAATTTTGCTGTCCGTCTTGTACGACTTTTGACTTTTGGGCGCGGTTGCTGCACCCCCAATTCATTAATTAGTCCTTTTGCTCAAAACACACCCCTCGTTGCCCATCGCTCCCTTTCTTTCGGAGAGTTTTTACTTCTAGTTTCCCGGCGTGGAGAAGTTGCGGTGGAGTTTGGACTTCTTCGGTATCCCTGCGAGTTTTCCTCGGGTGAAGGCCCATTCGTTGTTATTCGGTGGACTCCAAGGCCGTCCGGTACTGGTCGAAAGAGGGTGCCGTACTGGTGGCCTCTTGTAAGGGGGGAGGATGTTGTGTGAGCTGGTTGGGAGGCAAGACACTTTTGCAGTTTAGAATTATGTTGTTGTATTCACCTGTCAATCCTCCCGGTTCGGATTTCGTCACCTGGTTCAGGCTGGTTGTGATAATTTAACCCTCTGGGTTTACAGTTCAAACCCAACTTTGCAGTTCACCAGTCAATCCTCCCGGTTCGGATTTTGTCACCATGAGCAGAAGAATCCAGTCAGTGATGGTTTGCGAAAACCATTTGAGTCTCCTTTGCAATGATATCAAGTTGGCTGCCTCTCTTTGTGCCAATACCAATTGACGCATTCTTTGTGGAGTTGCATTAAGCAAGACAACGCGCACTCACACACACGCACACAAATGTGTGTGCGCGTGCACGCCTGCCCCTTGCTCTTCCTCTCTCCCCTGTCCGCCCTCCGCTCCGCCCTCCTCCCTCCAACCCACATGAAACATTCTGGCACAGTCATGTTCTTTCTGTGGAGTTCTGTATAGGGAACAAACATGACAACGCACACATACACACACCCCCTGCTCCTACCCTCCCTCCCCACCACACCCCCGTGCCCCCAAACCCCTGCGAGCGTGTTGAACCTTCTGATGAGTTGGTGACGTCCACGTCGTCCAGTGAAACAGTCTGCCACAGTCATGCTTTTCATTGTGGAGTTGTGTATAGCGAACATGACAACACACATACACATGTGCCCATGTGCCGACATACCCACGGGAAGTTGCTTGTGCACCCAGGGGCGTGCAGTGTCGTACACCCACTAAAAGGCCAAACAATTGTTTGTGACAAGACAATGGCCAGTTTAGTGGCGAGGCTCTGTGGGATATATGCAGAATGGATGACATGCGTACTGCTCTTGTAATCCTTGCTGTCGATCGTGTAGCTGAGTTTGACCGGAGGGTATAATGGTGATGCCCTTGAATAATATAGCTAGACATCACATGTTATGGCTCCGAAAGCAAGCCTATAATGACTTGTCACTGCAGGGTGTTGTAGTCAGCAGCTTCAGGCACATTGAAGGCCGCATTCTTTTTGACGGCCCACATTGAAAGCGCATTCTTTTTGACGCCCCCCATGTGACTGGATGCAACAGGGAAGTCGGTGAGAAGGGGGTCACAATGTTCAGAAATGAGCAATCAAATCAGTCATGCCCCCCATAGTGGGCCCCATGGTATAGCTTCAGAGGGCTGTGTTATTGTTTTCTGTTCTGGACACGGTCTGTTAAGAAGATAGTGTTGGACATGCTGTTGCAGAATTTGCAGTTGTAGTCGGCACATTGGTTTTTGTCAACGGTCGCTGTAAGCAGGTTGCAACTTAAACCACCAGTACTTCCTAAAGCCGTGCCCGTTTAACGCTACGCGATTTTAGGAAATGTACAGGCCACTACAGGAGCGCCCAAATTCATCCAACTAGAAACGTTTCTACTCTATTTTTTCCCGCGGCCGATAGCTGGGCCAAGTACTGGTGGTGGTTTAAGCTCTTCTGGTGCATACGGGGAGAGAGCCTGTGTATGACGCTGCACAAGGGGCTGACATCCTCGGACATGTGCTGTAGGATTCTGAAGTTTATAACTGGGAAAATAAGATTTTATTGTGTCAGATGCAACGTCAGAGTGAGTGACGCCACAGCAAGCAGCAAGCAACGTCAGAGTGAGTGAGGACACAGCAAGCTTTGGAATCTGCGCTGCCTAATGGTGCTTATATTTGGTACATGACTCGTGCTTATTCTTAGAGAGAGAGAGAGAGAACTCGGAGAAAGTGGTCCTCTTGAGTGTCTCCGTGCCTCTCTATCTTTCTGTCTTTCTCTGTCCACGTGCCTGTCTATCTGTTTCCTCCCCCTCCTCTCTCTCTCTCTCTCTCTCTCTCTCTCTCTCTCTCTCTCTCTCTCTCTCTCTCTCTCTCTCTCTCTCTCTCTCTCTTTCTCTTACTTGTACACACACAACTCTGTCTGTCTATATTGCTTGTTTTTTTCCCGAATAGAGAGTATGTTTGAAAATAAAATACATAAGTTGTATTCGGACGTAGTACATACGTATGTTGCATTCAAATTTTTGCAAGTAGACTTTTTTTTTTTTTTTTTTTTTTTTAGACTTTTAAAAAATAATCAGGATAATCTGGGGGAAAAACATATGGTGTACAACAATGCAATACAAACATTTGGTTGACCATTAAATATTCAAAATGAGAATGTATCTCCCGCTAGAACGAGGGAAGATGCACACACCTGCATCTTAACGGGGGTCCTGTCGAAACTCACAACCAAATCCGAGAAAGAAATAAAAAGGAGGATGAAAATATTCTTAACGCCAAGGACATTGTGTTTACTGATTTTCAAAGAATTTCGATAAGAAAAAAGTACTCATAAAAATCCCGAAACAAAGAGTATGTCGTACAACAGTGCAATGCAAACAACTTTCTGCCAATAACGTTATTTTTTTCTGGAAGTGATTGCGAATCTCGCCAAAATTTCCCAATCACATTCCAGAAAAAAAAAACTGAAAACAATGGCTCGTTGTTTGCCTTTCAATGCAAGCCGCGATATGTTATTTTCAAAAATACCCTCTATTCGGGAAAGTTGTACCCGGAAACTTATTATGTAACTGACATATGTTGAAAGTACGTCCGTTTATTCGGGTTAAAAAGAAGGCAGGAGGGGTGATCCTGCATGGCTTGTTGTTTGCCTTCCAGTGCAATGTGAAAACGGTTCAAAAACCCGCTGACCACTGCCCCTGCTACCGTTATATAATAGACGAATTAACATCGCGGTTTTTCGATCACCTGCCTACCGTCTTCCCCCGAACATGACACACGAATTAACATCGCATTTTTTCGATCACCTGCCTACCGTCTTCCCCCGAACATGACACAAACACGCATCCTCATTTTGACTGGGCTGGAAAGATGGCTTTTATATATTCATTATCAGGGTGTGTTAACAGGGGCCCGCTTGGAATGGGCTTTCAAAGCCGGTCAGAGACAGACACGCATCCTCATTTTGGCTGGCCTGGAAAGATGGGTTTTATATATTCATTATCAGGGTGTGCTAATAGGGGCCCGCTTGGAATGGGCTTTCAAAGCCGATCAGACACAGACACGCATCCTCATTTTGGCTGGCCAGGAAAGATGGCTTGTATACATTCAGTATCGGGGCATGTTAACAGCGGCCTGCTTGGAATTGGCTTTCACATCATTGCCCTCACCGCACCACTGACCGAATGTGAAAAAGCCAAAGATTAAGGTCTGTGCATCTTCCCTCGTTTTAGAGTGAGATCCATTCTCATTTTGAACATTTAATGTGTGGTGTCGCGGCGGCCCCATAGCTCAGAACACCATCAATCTGTCAGCTACCCCTTTTATCCCTGGGTCTGTTTCTTCTTTCCTCCTCTTTTTCTTGTTTTTTGCCACTGGGTCCCTGTTTTTTGGATGTTTTCAGTCTTTTTTTTTTTTTTTCCCTTTGTACCTGGGTCTCTCTGTTTTTAACCTTTCTTGGTTTCTATTGTTGTGACAATGTTGTCATTTTTTTTGGTTCTTTTTGGTTCCTCCCCCCCCCCTCCTCTCTATCTTGCATAATACAGTGACACAGGACCTTGCCACACCACTCCCGATATCTGAAAAAGACAAAAATGTGGCGGGTGCATCTGGTCATGGTCTAGCGCAAAGTTCATTTTGCACACTTCGCGAGAGGTGTGGCGATGCCCATAGTCTCCACAAACAAGGGTGTTGCCAGCTGTGAAATCTGGAGCGACGTCCTGCAGGTCATCTGTTAAAATTGGAACGATACAGAGAATTGAGAGAAGGAATATTAAGATGACCCCCTGCGCAATGCATAAATTGAGCAACGCTCGAATATTTTCCCTGTCCTTCGTCCCTGAGCTTTCTAAAAAAGAAGGGAGAAATTCTCAAAAAAAAGAGAAATCTGGAGAAATTTGGTCACAACAAACAGTGTTGGAAGCAGTAGTAGCTGCCCAGTTTGTGCAAGTGTTGCTGGGAATGGCCTGCATGGCCTTTTATGATTTTTCTTCTCTAAGCAGTATAGCCGCCCAGTTTGCGCAAGCGTTGCTGGGAATGGCCTACATGGCCATTTTTCTTCTCTCTTTTCTGAAGTTTTTCTTTCGCATGGTGATGTCGGAAGCGGTGCGTTAGGTAAATGTTCATATATTGAGTGTTCATCTAGGTGGCCATGTGCACCAGGGTGAGGTCGCACTACCATCTTGTTGCGAAAATAACGCCCTGATGTTGTATACAAATATCACATCCAATAGGCATTCTCGGGTAGCGTCAGTGCGTGCGGGCGAAGTGAAATGTACAGTGGCAAGGCCCCAACTGGGAGACCTGTGGCTGACGAGACGAGGCAGAAGGGCGATGCGCGCGATTGATCGAAAGATCAAACGAGTCCTTTGTACTTGCGTATCATGTCCTCCACGCGAGTGACGCCTCACATGGTGCGCATTACTTCTGCGCCTTTCGTTGTCTTCGTAACTCCTCAACGACCACTTTGGAAAAGGCGTGTGAATTTGCCACACCTGGGACACTTGCTCCGTCCGCCATCATCATCAATCAGAGATGTCTTTGAGCATTTTTACGAGGCTTTCCCATCATCAACGCGAATGCCACCGCTTTTTTCTCCTCTTCTATAAGTCTCGAGCGCTGTGCGAAGTTTCCGAGTAGCGTCAGCTACATCAGGTTGATCGAAGACTGCTGACACGATGGCTACCCCGGAGGGGAGGCCCGTGCTCATAACCTCTGCAAGGTTCTCTGTCGAAATACCGCCGATCGCCACGACCGGGAGCGATGAGCTCTGGCAGACTTTGACAAGGCCGTCTATCCCTAGATTGATTGTTACGACCTTCGTCTTCGTGGGGTAGACCGCGCCGCTGCCAAGGTAATCAGCACCCTCTTCGGCAGCCTTCTTTGCCTGCTCAGGCGTTTTCGCCGAGACGCCAATGATCTTGTCGGGCCCAAGCAGCTTGCGTGCGATGGAGACGGGCATGTCCGACTGGCCAACGTGGACCCCGTCCGCATCTGTCGCCAATGCAATGTCAATGCGATCGTTGATCACCAGAGGGACTCCTGCCCGTCTTGACATCCTCACCACTTCTTCAGCATCCTGTGAAAGTCAAATGGGGAATTCCAACCGCCGAAGCAGTTTTTTTTAGCTACGGCCCAGGGTTCAAAAAGAGTCTAACACAGAAAACAAAGGTTTGGGCAGACAGAGAGCTAGCTTCATACATAGAAACAGGATCAGCAACGGGGTCGGAAACAGAAACTGAAACTCGTACAGAAATCTGGAAGCAGAAACAGAAACAGAAACAGAATTCGAAACACATACAGAAATCTTGAAACAGGAACACTACTCCTTATGGAATCTTAGGTGTCAAGGTGTGGGTCTCATATTCATAAAATCAACCAAAAGTTCCAAAACACATATGCTATATCCAAAATGTACAAAATTTCGTAAATATCAGAAAGGAAGAAGCAAAGGCTCCCACGCGGCGGCACAACTTTGTTTCTGAAAATATGCTTATCTCGAAACAGGAAACACAAACGGAAATAGAAACTGAAAGTGAAATAAACTCGCACAGAAATCTGGAAGCAGAAACAGAAACAGAAAGTTCAGAAACAGAAGTGGAAGCACATACAGAAATCTCAAAATAGAAACTGAAACAGAAGTTTCGAAACAGAAACTGAGTGGCGTATGAGTACAAGGGTTGAGATCCTTGACGGTGGTTACGTTAAGGAAAGGTTTGGAGGATGGTGATAGCGCCATGATAGTAAAACTCGTGTCATCTTCTTCTTGTTAATTTTCCATGATCTAATATTATTTCTATCTGAGAAACAGAAACAGACACAGACACAGACACAGAAACAGAGACAGAAATAGAACCAGAAATAGAACCAGAAACAGAAGCAGAAACAGAAACAGAAATCGGGAAGATGCTTCTTGGTTTTATGAAATGACGAGTGGTGTCAAAGAGAAAGAGGAGGGGGGGGGGGGGGGGGGGGAAGAAAGAAAAGATTTTTTATTTTTTTTATTTTTTAATTTGGACCACTTCTTGATTTATGAGTGTCATCCTTGCGCAGGGGCCATGCTAATATTCTCTGTATCGTTCCAATTTTAACGGATGTCCCGAAGGACAAAAGAATTTTGACTTTTAACTTTTAAGAGAACCAGAAGGAGGCGCAGCCCACCATGGCCATCTCCAAATCATCCTGTCCGCACCGTACTTGGGCAACGAGCGTAAGCAAACGCCCGACGGGGCGTCGCTCCGAACACAGTCGACGCCAGCAAACGTACCAGCCAGGCGTCCCGACATCACGAGCCATCGACACGGCCACAGCGTTCGTCGCAAGCAGCGGAGGCAAGCCAGCTGTACGCCACGAAGAGGGAACTTGCACCTTAGCTGCAATGTGGCAGACTGCGTAGCCACACGGGCCCTGTAGGACCCGTCCCGGACATTCAGCCTTAAAGCCTAAAACTTAGGAGCTACAGGCCCCGGTCGTTTCAGCCTGAAAACTAAAAAACGAGGGCCTGCAGGCCCTACTCCGTTTCAGCCTATTTMTGGGTCTTTCAGACCCAGAGTTTTTCCAGCMTGAAACGGAGGGCTATTCTTAGGCCCTGGGCTATTTTTAGGCCCTCATTTGTTTCAACCTGCCCTAAGATTCAGGCACGAAAACTGGGTTTCGGAACAGGCTATTTCTGGCATGTTCCCATGCCAGCTCGAGCAGGAGCTGCAGCTGCAGCCCCTGCCTCCCTTCGGCATTATTGGCAAGA